ATGTGAGCCCTATAACAGCCAGCGGTGTGGAGTGGGATCACTATGGAACCGACTGTGCAGTAAAATTTCTGATACACTTTAGAGCCCCTCGTTATTGCAGAGCGGTGTTTTTAGCCCATAATTCAAAAGGGTTCGACGGTCATATTCTGGTGCATGCTATGCTGTCTCTGGGGATAAAGCCCAATCTGATTATGCAGGGTTCAAAATTGATAATATTCACAGAGCCAGACTATCAACAGAGGTTCATTGATTCATCTTCATTCCTCCCCTTCCCCTTGGCATCACTCCCCGCTGCGCTCGGACTCAGCGAGAGCGCAAAAGGTCACTTCCCCCACCGGTTCAGCTCAGAGGAGCATCTGAATTATGTGGGCCGGTTCCCCCAGCCAGACTACTACAGGGTTAATCAAATGCATGTCAAGAAGAGAGCAGAGTTTATGAGCTGGTACGAGACCGTGTGTCAGGGAGAGTTTGATTTTGCAGAGGCTGTAAGATATTGTAGAAATGACACTGTGATTCTTATGAAAATGATATTTGGTATTTTTGTTAATAGAACTATAACATATTAGCATAATTAGTATAATACAGTATACTAGAGTAATGTACTAATATGATATAACTTGATATAGAGTTATAAAATAGAATGTGAAACTACATTTATAATTTATTATGATTGATTTAAATGTATTATAAATGTAGTTTCACATGTAAATTTAAAATGCAAAGAGATGGTATGTTAAAACCACCAACTCATTACTACTCCTTAAATTCAAATTGACCTAATCCCCCATCTACAAGTTCACAATTTAAGCACAAATTCAGCTCAGTTGACTTCGTAATGTTCATCAGTTAGCCAACAGTTATAGGGTCACTTATAATATTTAACCAAGTATATGTTGCCCTTAAATCCTAGCAGTGTCATGCAGTCTTAAGATTTCATACACCTCCTTGGACTCCTATTTTAAAAGAAGAAACACATATATCTCTCTGATATCTGCTTGTTATTTTGCTGGTCAGCTGTATAGTTTGAAGCCAACCTAATGACATTTTTGTCACTGTTTAACAGAAACCAATATGGACCGGCTGCTGAGGCTTGGAGGTGGAATGCCAGGGCTTGGCCAGGTAACTCAAAGACTGAACTGTTCATCTCAAGAGCACAAACAAATTTTTCTGATGGTTCCTAGCATTACTACAAGCAAAAATATCAGTCTTTCTCTGTTTCTGGCCCTAACCATATTCACACAAAATCACACATTTATCCTAAACCAAACCATGTTGGCTTTATGTTCTAAAATTATGTGTGAACATATAAATGCTTATACTTTTAAAGTCTTAGATCACATTTTAAAAACTTTTTGTGAGTAACACTGGAAGCTTCTTTCCAGAACACTGGTGGAATCCAAAACTGCATCAGTAATGTTTCCAGTGTTTCATATGTTTTAACAATTATTTAAGAGTGCTGATGAATCCCAGCTTACATTCTTTTCGCTCTTTATTCTTTAGTGGGATAGCTGGTCATATAAATGTGTATGAGTGCAACTCTGCATCCTGGATTCAACTGTGGGTTCTTATAATTAGTTGTAAAATAAACTCACCCATATTTTTACATATGAGAGCATCCACCAAAGTGGATTGGATGCTGTCTCTTCTAATCACACACCAGGTTTTTCCTGAAATGTTTTCCAAATGTCTATGAAGCCCACATCGTTTTCTGGACACCACCTAGACAGCCAACGGTTGAATGACGACATGCAGTTCCACATGTAATCATTGGTCAGATTGTGCAGGGGTTCAGTGAAGACTACGGAGTCCGACGACGTTTCGGCGAAGTTACACACTGACTCAACATTAATTTTAGTGACCTCCGACTGCCATAGATGGGAGGCATTAGTGCCGACATGAATAACAGTCTTACTGTATTTATGTTTATCCTTAGTCAGCTGCATCAGATAGGACTCAATGTCGCCCGCTCTGGCCCTGGTTCATGTTAACTATTGTGTGCCATTGTATATATCAAGCACACGACAAATGCTAGAGTTGCATTTTTTTCAAGCTTAAACAAGACAGTAAGAGGCGACGGAAATGGATAGATTCAATCAGAAATAAGGCCATCAAAATATTAAACCATTTTAAATCTTTTTGATGATGATTTTTACATTACCAGAGTTGGTTTCTTAGTGGGTGTGTCGCTGAATGGGGAATATCGATTTAAAACGTGTGCAAGCAGGTGATGAACTGTAGGCGTTTGTTTCGAGCTATGTCTCCTGCGAACTAGTTCTAGTTTCAATTTCTTGAAACTTCTTTGGTTAATTGTCAGGGTTGAGACAAATGTAGCTTTACTTGATTCCCAGAGCAGTGTTGGTTCTTGACACACAAGTCTAGCCAGAGCCTGTAGTTTACCACAGGGTTACGTGATTTGAAGTGATGGCTTATTTTATTACATACATGAAAACTAAACAATATTTACATTGTAGTGATTAATCTGAGTAACAACTGTATCTGAAAAGCCCAAACAAGTGATAAGGAAACACTGCTTTGACTCCTCAGGGCCCCCCAACAGATGCACCTGCTGTGGACACAGCAGAGCAGGTGTACATCTCCTCTCTGGCCCTGCTCAAGGTAACCACACATCAGCACTAAACACTTTGTTTCAGCATGTTCATTTTCATGTTTATATTTTAAATAACACTTCTGTGATTTCTCTGTCATGTATTTGCTGTTGATTAGATGTTGAAGCACGGCCGTGCTGGTGTACCAATGGAGGTCATGGGTTTGATGTTGGGAGAGTTTGTTGACGACTACACAGTGCGAGTGATTGATGTGTTTGCCATGCCCCAGTCAGGGACCGTATGTATTCTCTCTGATATTAAGATTATGCATCATCAGCAATCATTGGGGTAGAAAATGCATGTTTATAATGTTGTTTTAAATTATAGATGGATATTTTCAGTATGTTGAAATAAAGTAACTTGATGGAAAACCGCAATATTACTGTTTAAATGTGAAATTGTATGTCAGCTGACTTCTAACTTGACTCACATTCCAGTGGGAAATGACAGCTGTAGTAATAATGATAATGTTAAACAAGGCCATACACTTAGTTCCAGTGGTAGAGATAAATGACCCATGTGTGGCCAGAAACAACTGACAAAACAGAAGCCTGCTCACGCAATTAATCTTAGCATAAAAACAAATGTTAGCATATTGTTTGCCTGCTGCACAAGTGAGAAACACAGGCTCACTTATTCCGGTTATTATATTCATAACATTAGCATGTATGAAAATCCTGTTCTTTCCTCAAAAGATACCAGACACAGGATCTAGGCTACATGTGTTACTGTACATTAGTGCAGAATGGTTTTGCCCCCAAATGGGAGCTTGTTCCTGCAGTTTCAGGGGAAAATCATCTACAGCCTTCATAAAATTCTGGCCGAAGGTCTGAGGTCTAATCAAATAGCTTGAGCTAATGGCTAATTCTGTACTCTGAGCTAGCAGACCGGATTTCCATTCATTACTTACGTGTTTCGTGCAGCAACTTTTTACATTGATTTCCACACAAACTCTCAACCATTTCTGGTCATTTATTTACACATCTCACTGGTGATGTTGCTTGGGAAACAGTTTAGAGAAAATACCTGTAGCATCAGTCATGAAACTTTCCTATGCTTAATGTTATGATGTTGGATAATAAATGCCTTGTTTGTTAGGTGGTGTCTGCAGTTTTACAAGAAAGTCTGTTCTTCTGATGATTTTGACCCTGACAGGGTGTGAGTGTTGAAGCAGTGGACCCTGTGTTCCAGGCCAAGATGTTAGACATGTTGAAGCAGACTGGCAGGTAAAGCTGTTACACATATGTACAGTCAGAATATTTTAAATAGCTTCAGTTGTCAGATTTGAAATGTTTCCTTCTCCCCCCAAAATACCTTGACACTTGTTTGCTGTCTTGCACCCTTGTTGTTCATCAGACCAGAGATGGTGGTGGGGTGGTACCACAGTCACCCTGGTTTTGGCTGTTGGTTGTCTGGTGTCGACATCAACACACAACAGAGCTTTGAGGCACTATCAGAGCGAGCTGTTGCTGTGGTAGTCGATCCCATCCAGAGCGTCAAAGGAAAGGTAAAGCCATATGGGTGCTGCAGAACCTTGCAAATCAGTATCTCTTATTTTAGGTTTATTATACAAGATTAGGTATTAATTGGTAATCCAAAGTGAGGTGGAAATAACGTAGTAGTCAGTAAACTGGCTTAATATGTGACCTCTGTCTTCTTCAGGTTGTTATTGATGCCTTCAGATTGATCAACGCCAACATGATGGTGTTAGGTCATGAACCAAGACAGACCACATCGAACCTGGGTCATCTGAACAAACCCTCAATCCAGGTAAAAGATTGTACAGTGTCACCTTCATTCTTGATGAATATCTTTAATAACTCCTTATGGAGATGTAAAGGGGGAATATTTTTTGAAAGTATTTGTTCCCCTAGTTTTTTTCCATAAAGTTTCATCCAAATCATTGTTTGACTGTCAAAAGATAAAAACATCAGACTGAGTTTTCATCTCACAAATTACCATCTTGTTGTACAAAGAGAGAAAGCACACACACTTAGTTTCAAAATACCTTAATGTGGCTTTGCTCTGTTTTTCTCAAAGGATCGAGTCTTAATAAAACAGTAGAATATGAAGTGTAACATGTAAACTGTTTACTCTGAGTGTGGACATTTTCAGATTCTGCATTATTTCATGTAGCCAACTTAGCATTTCTCATGTTTTCAGGCTCTGATTCATGGACTTAACAGACACTACTACTCCATCACCATTAATTACAGGAAAAATGAGCTGGAGCAAAAGGTTTGGGAATACACTTTCCACTAAGTGTTTTTTTTTTTTTAAGGATTATTGTTGGTGTTTTAAATTCAACATGAGAAACATGGCTTTTATTTTTAGATGCTGTTAAACTTGCATAAGAAGAGCTGGATGGAGGGTCTGACCCTGCAGGACTACAGTGAGCACTGCAAACTCAATGAGACGATTGTCAAGGAAATGCTGGAGCTGGCTAAGAACTACAACAAGGTAAATCTTAGATGATGTGTGTTTAACCTAAGTTGAAAGCACATTTTATTGAACTCGTTAGACGGTTGAAACAACCTTTAAACACCATGAAATGGAACAAAGGATTTAATGTGCATTGTTTCACGATTACACAGTAAATTGGTATATTATTATTATTAACTTAAATAACCATTTATATTAAAGTCATTGATCTGTCATTTCTGGCACTGCAGTCAGAGGATCAGTGAGCTACTTTCTGCTGTGTGGGTGTGCAAGCATTCTCCTTCGAGATTGATGCTCAAAGATTGCTATCATTAATGCTGGTGGTTTACTGGGATGCAGGGAGTTACTGCATCTCCCTTACAGTATAAAAGATTCCTGGGGTCTTGCATGACCTAAAAATTATTTTAGTTTTGTCCAAGCAACACAAATAGCAAAAAGTGCTATATACGAATATAAGCACAGAGCGGGGCTCCTTGAGGTGTGCTCCCCCTCAGTACTGAGAGCCTGTCATGTTTCCACCCCAGGCTGTTGAAGAAGAGGACAAAATGACCCCAGAGCAGCTGGCAATCAAGAATGTTGGAAAACAGGTACAAAAAAAAAAAAAATGCAGCTGAAGCCCATTCATTATTATTTT